GGAGCACTGACGCAGTGTAAGAATCAGTTAATCTAATCTTGGGTCAAAAATCTGGACTTTTAAGTTCTGTGTTCTTTTATTAGTTTAACGTCAGTAGCAAATCAGTACATCTTTGGGCTTTAAGCATCTGCCTTCTGCAGCAGCAGGTGTGAAAAAATTTAATAAAATCAAAGCCTGTTTTTTAAAAACATACTTCTATTTCTACACATCTTTCTATTACCCTTCCCTATTAAAATATTAGAAGTAAACTGATAAATTCATGGTGTGAAACGTTTTTATGATTAAAAAAAAAAACAAAAACACAGCACACAGATATATATGAGTTGTGTGAGAGGTTGTACCTGTATACTTCTGCCTGCCTTGTCCATTCAAATCTAAGCAATGCTGGAATAAAAGAAGAAAACTGGTTAAAAAAAAACAGTCTCTGCACAGCACCTGATAAGCTGATGGATGCTGTACGCTAAAGTCCAGCAGTATTATCACTTTAAACGTGCCGGACTACACCGGCGGTGTCTGCTACACACAAATCAACACAAATACTCACAAGCTTGTCCAGCGTTTCTGACAGCGTGCTGATGTTTGCCAGGCTGTGAGGACTTTTCCTACGAGAAAGCACACAAGCACTGACTCAGCATCATTCAGGGAACGTTGGCCAAGGAAGACCGAAGGCATCGGCCAAAACACATGCGAGGCATTACTAACACCACCTTCACTTTGAAACCAAGAGGAAAAATCTGATCATAGGTCAAAGACCTCAGATGAGATCCAAAATGTTTTTATAGTTTCTGTAAACCAGGAAGGTTTAGGGTAAATATCTGATACTGTGACTATGAATGTGGAGTCTCAGGAGCGCAGCTCAGGTTCATTCAGAATGATAGATGCTTGAAGTCTCTAAAATATTTGGATTTGTGTGGTGTTCTCTCGTTCTGCTAATATGAATTTGAGTCATTTTCAAGATATTTATGAAATTATCAAAATAACAACACTAGAATTATTATTATTATTATTAACTACTTTCAAAATTTCAATGAAGATTGAAGAAAATTTATTTAACACAGGCATGAGGTGAGTACTTTGTATCAGCAGATTTCCAAAGCCAAGGCATTCGGATCATATCTGTGCGTCGTTGTTAATTGAAGTTTCATTGCAGTTGCCCTCCTGGCCTTACAGTCAACTGAACGTTCAGAAATTCAAGGAAAGAACCGATTTCTGCCTTTAGAGCTGTGATTTTTAAGCCTTTGTGCCAAAGCAAAACAAACAGCAAACCAGAAACCTGTCGTCATATGCGCAGAATGTCATACTCTCTCATTTCAAATATCATCACTTCTTTTGATTGCAATGTTAGCTGATTTTAAGAACTACAATGAGCACCACTAAAGTATGACTTGCATCCATCCTCTTATCACACAAGAACACATACATTGTATGGTCAAAAATATGGGGACACACTCTTAGTCTTTGAATTCAGGTGTTTTTAGTTCCATAGCCACAGGTGTATAAAATCAAGCACCCAGCCATGCGGTCAGCCTTTAGAATGACTTGTGAAAGAATGGGTCGTTCTACAGAATTAACAGAAATGGAGTACTACTGAAACAGGATGCCACTGTTGCAACAGGTCAGCGGGTGAAATTTCTTCCCTTTTAGATATTCCGCAGTCAGCTGTATTATTGTAAACGTGGACGTGTTCAGGAATCAATAACTCATCCACGATCATCCAGATCAAGTAAAGTTACAGAGTGCGATCGCTGCGTGCTGAGGTGTAAAGCACATATGTTCTGCTGACTCAGTAACTGCAGACCTCAAAACCTCTGACATTAAGATCAGCATGTAAACTGTACACTGGGAGCTTCATGGCATGGGTTTCTATGGCAGAGCAGCTCCTGTGGGTGTATTATGTGGGCAGCCTAGAAATTTTGTTTATGTAGTGTAGATTCCTGCTGCCTCTGGTTCAGACGCAGCTCTCTTCTACCCTTTTAAAGCAGGTGAAGTCTCTCTATAAAAGGATGTTCAGTTTCCAAGGCCCTCTTTAGCTCACTATATCAGCATTAACAGATTAACTCAGGCTGAAGGCTGCTGACATCACAAGTCCAGCTGCTCAATTATATCTCCTCACTATCAATCAGGCCAATGAGGTCAACTGAAATGACATTTAGTACTTTTTGTGCAGTTACAATGTTTCGTTGATGCAGAAATCTCAGGGGACACCTTGACTTGCCTCAGGGCAGCACTGGGGAACCACAGCCTTTAAGTATAGGACCCATTGGAAGTTATGATCATATGTAGACATGATCCCAGACACATACACAACAATGAATTCTGTGACTTTACTCCCCATTAGGATCATTCAAGTGATTCCAGGAGATGATGTGTGGAGAGGCAGAGTGTGCCATCGCAGCAGCTGTCACAAGTACGATTCATAAATGCACAAAATTCACTTGAGTACTGTTAAAATGAATGGTGACGCCATTGTTGGAGATTGAAATGGGCCAGTTCGGAAACATTGTTTTTGTTCGGTTCGGCCTGCATAGCTGGTTAAAAGGAAGGAGCAAACAGGGACTGCCTCATCACACTAAATTTCCGTTTTCGTGTTCAGACTTGATATAAAAGCTCCCTAGAAGAACGAGGACACTGCTCGGTAGAAAACAGGCGTTGTCACGTTTGCATTTCAACAAAAACCACCAAACGTAACTGTCGCGCAGCTGCAGTGTCTGCGACATTAAACGTGAACTTTTTCCAGCGTTTGAACTGTTAAAAATAAACATGGTAACGACAGCACTGCTACAGAACCAGTTTAAAAAGCTCTGTGGGAAACACACGTCACCATCCCTCCACCACACACACCTAAAGCACAAGACACAGGTACATATTGAATAAAAAGTCTGTTAAGGGTCTGGACTCTGTTAAACTTTAAACTTTGGGCTAAAATCCAAACGGCTGCGGGTCTCTGCCGTTGATGCTAACGTTAGCTAACCAGGCTAGAATGACTAATAGCAGACTTCGTGCCAGGATGTCGCATTTTGTCGCCACTTAAATGTTACAAAAACATGATTCGTATTACAAATTCCACATTTATCTCCTTCATTTTCTTCAGAGAGTCAGTCTTGACTCACAGTGAACCTCTTTTGTTCGCTAGCTAACATTAGTGGCGCACCGCGGGTTTCAGAGCTGCTCTGCTAACGTCTGCTAATGTGTCAAAACACGCGTCAAAAGTCTTTAAATCACTCGCATCATAATTAGAGGCAAATATAAGACAGATGCCTGGGGCAACACCTGGTAATTGATAGGGCACTCTTTTAAACACTTACCACTTTCAGTCACACTCAGACTACTGTCACAGTTCCACCTGCTTCTCTTATGCCGGAGTTTTGGCTGGAGCCGGCGTTTCCGCGAGAGTGGACGATACCACCGCTTTATGGGGGTGCAATACAAAATTAGCGTTTCCCTGTTCAGAGAAATGTGCGCGAACGCTCTTTTTTAAGAATGGATGTTTATAAAACACGACATTTAACCTCATTTACAAGAAGGATATATGGTCTTAGACAACAGTTATCCAAACGACAACATCTGATGGTTGTAATGTACACCCCAAAGAGCCGAATATATCGTTTTAGTTCTTAAAGAAATAGTCCCTTATTTTTGGCTCACATGCTCACATGTACTCATGTCCATGCATCCATTCGTCCCAGCTGTCATAGGGCGAGAGGCAGGGTGTAATAAAGTTTTTAACATTTAAATAAAACTGTAAAATCTCTGTCAGCTATTTTTCTAAAATAGTTCCTCTGAACTTTTTATTTAATTTTAGCTGTTCACAGTTCAAAAACTCGTCCATCACTCTGAGTTAACGACAAGCAAGGTTATCCTTAGGCTAGATGCACTGGGTGTAGATGGGTGTCAGGGGTGATGTGATTTATGACAGAAAGGTAGTGATAGCGAGAGTAAAAGAGAAGCTCTCCATAACCTGCTGTGATGTATGGTTTGGAGACAGGACGTGAGGCCAAAGACAGAGGAGTTGATGATGTTTGTTGGGAGTGAGCAGGATGGACAGGATAGAGGCAGGTGATCCACAGATAATCCTGCAGTGAGAGCTTGTCCTTTAATAACACAATTTATCTGCAAAATAACAAGTTTAAAAATAAATGTTATGGATAAAAAGTATAATCTACATGCAAAATATAGTTTAGTAGAAACATATGCATATAACAGGTGTCATTATATGACCCCCTGCTGGTCTCTGGTCTTTGTTTTTAAAGGTTTAGTAAGCAAAATACTATTTGACCTGAGACTTGTGTAGTGTTTATTAACTCAGAGTTAGTGTTTATACTGAGGGTTGTTGGAACATTAATAAACCCAGTGTTCCTGTAACTGTGCGGTGTATGGAGCACATGATTGTGGCCCATACACCATCTCTTAAAATGTAAATATTCAGCAAAAATTCTCATAGATTTCTTTAAAAGAAAAACTTAAATAAAAAAATCTAGGTCATTCACAGTGACATTGCATTTGTTTATTTACCATTTTCTTAATTAAGTTAATATGAAGTAAGATTAGATTAGATGAAACTTTATTAATCCCTCAGGTGGGTTCCTCCAGGAAATTTAACTGCAGAATAAGTCTGCAAACTACATCAAGTCCTTGTAATTTATCTTCTTGATAAATAAACACCCGAGTATAACCCACTTGCGTTAAATTGAGGTCATTTGTTGTTGTTGTTTTTTGAAGCAATAAGCTCAAGTAATTTCTTTAAATGCATCCAACTTATTAAATTTTACAGCAACTGGAAGTAGGAAGAAAATATTTGTCTTTATTTTGCCAGTAAATAAATTATTCAACTTAAAAAAAAAAAAAAAAAATTTAAAACAAGCAAAAACAAAGCAGTACTCAAAAGAAGCACTCTCATCTCACTTTGATTTTTTTTCTTTTATTGCCAACACACACTTTTAAAGTCCTTCCTTGATGTCATAGCAAACATTCAGCTGGTTTTCAGGCTGTGGCTGATTGTGTTTAGTTCAAGTGTTGTCGTCACACAAGGCTACAGTAAAATCTGACTTCTGTGCAGTGCAGGCCGGGTTTTCACATGAGACAACCAAAAGAAAAAGAAAAGAATCACTCACAGCCTTTTAACTTCAGCTGTGGTTAATTCAAATGTTTCAAAAGAGAGTAAAATGCAAAAATCAGACAATATATCTTTAAAAAAGGGGAGGGGCATAAAATGAGATCACACAGGAGGTGACACCCTTGTTTTTAGTTGGAAAAAGAAATTTTACATTGAGAAAAACTTTGAAACTCTGCTCACACATCCTTTCAGTGGTGAAAGCTTCCTCATATTTACTTTTTAAACCCTCATTTTCTTTGGGAATCATGTCATTAATACATTTAACGAGCTGTGGGATGTTTCTGCAGTTGGGTTTGACTTTTGTGGAACATGTTGCTGAAATAAAATCTAAGGTTTATTAAAAAAAGATTTGATATGTTGTCTTTGTATTACTTTTGTTTAAATAAAGATACAAACCGTTGCAAATGATGGGATTCTCTTTATTTAAATTTCACATTCTGAACAGCTTTTTTTTTTGGAGAGAGTGAATTAGCTTAGGAAGTTACGGAAGTTTAAAGGCGTCCACTTATGCTTATTTCCATATTTTGATGATTGGGTTCTGATAGAGTAGCTTTGCATGACTCGAAGATCGAAATCATTCTTTTCTCTTTTTTTTTCGTTCAGTCTTTCCCTTCATACTCAAAACAATCTGCTTTCATCCAATTTTTATGACCTCAACTAAACACTTATATTTACTGCTGTTTTTTTTTTTAATCTTAAAAATGTTTCCCCAACAATTTGTCAGTTTCCTTCTTTGAAAACCTTTCATAGTTTTCTGTAATATAATTTGCCCATGTGTGTGGTAAAGATCATGGAAAGTTGTGAGGAAATATATTTATGTTTTTAGACATTACAGGTAAATTCCCATTTCTAATCCCTGTGTTGTGCTTAAAAGTGGGAATGAATCATTGTGATGTTTTGTAGTGAACCACGGCTAACACAGCTATAATGCAAAGATTTACTGCTGCAGAAGCCCTGAGACAGACATTTAATGCCCAAACTGATAGCTCAGCTGATGTAGGAATGAGTCCAGTCGACTCCTTTTTGCACAAAAATGATCGAAAACTAAAACAAATGACTACCACCTCTCATCAGAGAAGCTTCTTCAGTTCTAAGACATATCTTAGAATACGTCATAGATAGGGAAATAGTATAGGTACGATAAACACAGACAGAGCCATTTAAAACAAGTCTGTCCATTTCATGAGTTTCTATTATCTGGTACTGATGCAAAGTTTATAGTCTCCTAAAAGATCAGGAGAGTAACCTTAAATAATGGGGTCATAAATGACACTACTCTGTCATTTTAGCCAGTAAAATAGCTTCTAACAGTACATGTATATGACATACAGTGAGAGGAATAAAAGGTTCCCTTTATTGAAGACTGGCAGCTTGTGAAATGATGCAGTGAAACTGAAAAACCTCTGAAGAAATTCAAAGTTTGTCAGCCTGTATAAACAATTCAAGTGAGGCTCGGGTTCAGCCCGTAGTCTGACAGGCAACAGGTATGCTTACCCTCTGAGTTCAGTCTGTTTACATGGTAATAGTTGAAAACTAGCACTTAATACAAAGCACAGCTGAAGCTGATGGAAATTCAGTTAAACTGGAGGTGTTCAGTTCTACATAACTGACATATTAAACAAAAAACATTAAAGTGATTAGAAAACGAATTCTACATTTCTCAAAGTGTGGCCACACAGGGAAGGATGCCTTAACTTTCTTTGAATTCAAACCCAAAGTTGTCAAGTAAGCAAAAAGTGAGTGAGACTGAGCTCGTCTGTTGTTGTTACTATAGCAGCAAACCTTGCAAACATTAACAAATAAAGCTGATGTCAAAAATTAACAGGACAAAAACCCACAAACACCAAAAATGATTTGTACAATTTTCTGTGAGGGGCTGAATAGAAAGGACATCAGAGTTACAGTAACCCACCCTCTGGAAGCCACAAATACATCTGACGGATTGGTTGTTGCAGATACCTCTCATTATGAGTTAAAACTTATAAACTTCAGAACAAGTGAGAAGGTTACAAACATCATCTGGATTCATGAATGCCTGAGCTAAATTTAGAAGATTTAGATTTGTATGTCAGGAAGTAGAGCAGGTCATCTTATAATTGTAAAGTTGTTGGTTCCCTGGCTGCTCCAGTCTAGACACCAAATATCCTTGGGCAGGATACCAACCCCAAGCTACTCTCCAACAAATCCATGGGATGATGAATGAAAACTATGCTTAAGAAAGCACAGAATAAAAGTGCTTATATGAATGAATCAAGCTGGGGTCACAGGGTAGAGCACATAAGTGACCCTGACAAGGATAAACAGAAGAAAATGGATGGATGGTTGTTATTTCAGTCTTAAACTTTGAAGACAACCACTAGCTATGAGCTCAGCATCAGTAGGATAATTTCTATCAACAGTGAGGTGAAGTCTGAGAAAAACAAAAGAGAAAAAAAATAATTAAATGGCAGATTCAAAGCTGAAAGTTTTGTTTCAGTGCCTGAAACATTTTTGTAGGTTTGTAAGTACAAATCCAGCTTTGTACCTTGATGCCCTTCTGTAATCTCACTGGTGACATTTCCCCCCTCCAACTACAGATTAACAAACTTGAATTTCTTAGTTTTTGACAAGTTATCATTTCTGAGTACCCATCATCAAAAAAATGATTTTCAGACCAAGTTTCTGTGATTGTTGGAACTTCTTCAATCAAAACGACACAGTACACCTTGAAGCCAGAAGTTAAAACTCAACCAGAAAAAGATGCTTATCAGGAACAATAAACAAAGGAAGGACCCTCCCCAAAAATATTTAGTGTGCTGGGTTCAGTTATTGAGAAACGCCTTTCATCCAGTTAGCTGTATGCGGATTTGAGGATTTATGCCTATAAATAAACCCAGCTAGTGATGTCACCTATGACTGTGGATCTGAAACTGAATAAATCTGAAACAGCAGTTTAAAAACAAAAAAACAAAAAAAAGGAGATTGAGTATTGGTGGGTTGCAAAGCAGGTTGCAGATAACCTGTAAGCAGGGTAAAGCAGCTTAACACATGCACAGTACGAGACACACAGATTAGATTCTCAGAGGTTTTAACTATCCTAAGAGACGGGGATCATGCATGCTGACCTGATAGTCGTGGAGCAATTCTTCTTTTTTAGATCAAACCAAACCTCTAAAACCACCGGAACAAGCGGAATAAGAGGTTAGATGGTGCACCATATCTGGGATTTTGTGCCAGTTCTGCTGTACATCTCTGTGCTTTGTGTGACAGATTACTGCAGGTTTAACTGTTCAACTCCTCAACTCTGACAGAAAATAAGAATAAAGCAGCCCAGCACTGAGACTTAAGAGTTTTGGGATAGATTTTTCTCTTCAGAAAACCAGAGGAAGAAACCCCCTACTGACTAACACAGAGACAGATGAGACTGAATGTAATTAAATGAGTGTTTTTCCTCACGGATCACACAAAGAAAGAACTCATTAAAGTCCCTCAGTGTCCTCAAATGTGTTTAAAAATACAACAGGGTATCATCTGCCAAAAAAAAAACAAAAAAAAAAAACTAAGTGAGCCAGGCCTGTGCATAGAGAATAAAACTGCATATAATGCGACTGACATGTGGAGTTAGTTTCATCTCAGGTGAAACCTGAGGCAGACGGCCTCACTGCATTCAGAAGAGTTCACAATAATCAGAAAACTCCAGCGTTTTTTAAAATGTTTTTTTTTGCACGTCAGTGTGTAAAATGGATTATTCTCAACATCGATGTGTCGCAGTAACAAACGTAAAAGCGGCTTCAGCATTTTGACAAAATTGCAGATAAATCTTTATGTGGAAAGTGAAATAAATTAGACTAACAGTTTTTTTTTGCAGGCTGTTTAAGTCAGTACTGTTTAAGTCAGTACTGCAACGGCAACAGACGTGTTTGCAAAAACAAGGCAAGAAAAAAAATGGACAAAAAAGTAACATTCCTCATAAATACAGAATAAATATTAAAAAACAAACAAACAAAAAACAACCCCACACATTCACAGTCGTCTTTCTTTTTCCTCACTGCTCACAGGATTTGATTCTCAGTTCAACAAGAGCAAAAAGATTCCCAGTGCAACTGATAAAAATCAGCCACGTTTTTTTTAATATGAAGGGATCACCTCCGGAAGGTGAGCTTGGCATCAAAACGTAGCGAAAAATGAAACCTTTACATGCCATAACATGGTCTGATCCTCCACTTGTCCCTCATGGTGAGATGACCACTGAAGGTTTACCCAAAACTCACTTTTTCTCCAGGATACCAAAACCTGGTTCTGTTACTCGGAATTATAGACATTAAAGTAAAAATAGTTTTGTAACCACTGGAAGTATGATACACAGTATGGGACAGGGATAGCTCAGTAGGTAGCGTGGTTACCCCATGATCGGAAGGTCGGGGGTTCGACTCCACTGAACAGCTACCCTGAGGTACCCCTGAGCAAGGTACCGTCCCTACACGCTGCTCCCCGGGCGCTGCATTGGTGGCTGCCCACTGCTTCACTGGGTGAACTAACACATTATTTACATTACATTATTATCCCGTGTCCAAAAATCATGGAAAAAACTAAAACTCTGTTAAGATGATGACACATGGAGTGGGTGTGAAGTTAATCTGGAGTTATGAGGGCTCGAAAATGCTGGAAATTAATAAATTAGAAAGTTCAATCTTCCACTCAACCCTGTGTACTTTAAGGGTCTGCAACTCGCCCCAAAGTGAGTTGCAGACATAGTGTGATGTAAAGTTTTACATGTCTTCATTAAATACACTAAAGTAATTTTACAGAAACAGCTTTTGCTGATTGTGAGGGGTGGGGGGCACTGATTGGTTCTCCATATTTACCTCAGCAGCTTTTTATTCTCTATAATTCACTGCGGCTGATCTCGCACTCACTGACCGGTCAGCTGACAAAATACATTTTCACACTCATATTGAAGATGTTGCAGAGGCTACAGCACCAAATTACAATCAGGTGAGAAAGAGTAGAAGAAGAACTCGTTACTTTTAGAGGGTTGTTTCCTGTTTAGTGGAATTTTTGGTGCCCTGCACCAATCAGACACTGGCTTATTGTTTATCCTCAACACATTTCCTCGATTTAAGTTGGCCTTATGTGAGTATAAGCTTATCAAATGTTTATAGATTGTATGGAAAATGCTAAGATTGATTTATTGATATGATAAAACAGCCTCTGTGCCTTTACTGTATGTAACATGGTGTTTACTGCAGTGCGTGGTCACCTCCCAAAGGTCTCTGAATTCTTTAACATAGGGAAATAGCACATTAGCCTGAACAGGAAGTTCATAGTTGTCTTTTTTCTTTAAGGTGTCGTCCTGTGCCAGATTTATGATAAGTATATAAAGTGTAAAGGATCTGCTGTATAGCACATCTGCATATTTTCCTTTGTAATTTTACAACTTTCATCTCTAAAATTATTGTTTTGGTTCGACCCCCTGACACATCCTGTGATTTTGTTTTATTTAATTCCCCCTAAACGTTTGGAGCTTCACCTGTGTGGTGGCAGGTGTTTCTAGGTTCTCATTATGGTAATAAAAAGGGAAACGTTTTCACTTTTTCATCATTTTCTCCAACTCCATTAGCATGGAGCAAATTCAGAGCTCTGGTGTGATGAGAAACAATCGTGTTGTTGCTCTGGACCAAGTGTGAAGAATAAGTTCAGCTTGTTTTGAGGCAGTCACCGATCTTTTAAAGGCTTTTGTGATTCAGAGACAAACTGACAATGCTAAATAGTTTTTATGTCCCGGTGATAACGGAACTAAAGTTATGGCTGCAGAATCGTGAGAGCTGCTTTAAAGGGACTAAATTGTTGCTTTGCTTCAAACACTATGAAGGTTTATGGGCTGAAGGTGATTTGTAGCTTTCTGAGAGTTCAGGCAGAGAGGAAGAACAAAAGGGCAGTGTGCACACATCACACAAACTCAGACAGTGTTCTGCTTTGGAAAAAGGTCCAAACACCAGCAGCTCATTCAAACCGTAAGTAAAAGCAACCGAGCAGCTGTGTGGTTTTCTCTAACTGTGCAAAAAATAAAAAAAGACACTCTTAGAATGAATGAGGTAAAAATTTAGACACTGAACTTCCATCTGAGTGTGTGCACAATCCAGACCTCACACACTGGGGCAGTTACACTTTCTCGTTTTGTTCTTGAGGCTCTGCAAAGATGACGTCACCTGCAGCCCGGTCAGGGGATCGCAAAAAAAAAATCTGAATACCAGCATTTAAATTCCCAACCCTTTCTGATACAACCAAAGTGTGACAGATTCTCCACTGAAGGGGGAAAAAAAAAAATCATAGAGCAGCATGCTGTTGAAAGTGCACACACACATACAAACACGCACAACTAAAAGATCAGATACACACCATGCACTCAAACACACAGACACACACGATTTGGCAAAATACTCCTCGGTAGTTTGAACTCGTCTCTCTCCTCCTCGATGGCAGCTTTCACTCTGCATTCCCTCTTCGAGTATTAGATCAGTGTAGGACAGGAGGGATGCTAAATGGCTGCGGCTAACATGGCAGCCGTCGCATGACGTGAAAGCAAAGGACTGATATCAGCTTTGTTCTCCTTTTCTGCCCTCACTCCTTCTCCACCTCCTTCTCCGAAGTCCACTGCTGATGAAAGTAAGGCAGGAAGTATTCAATTACATCACTATTTTTTCTTCTTCTGAGCTGCTGGCGGACGGTGCACGCCGCCGTTCCTCTCCTCTGAGCAGACACTAGAGGGCAGCAGGGACAAACACACGGCCAGATGACTCAACGCTACGGCTTGAAATGACACTCCGGTAACACACTGGCGTCTCACAAACACAAACAATAGCCACACTTTTGTTAAAAAGGCTTTTCCGTGTCCTTCAGCGCGCTCCCAGCCCTCTTCTCCTTCTTCAAACACATCCTTTAAGTCCTTGTTTGTCTCATCTCGCAGGTTTTAAAGCGCCAGATGCAGGCCAGTCGTAAAAAACAGCAAAACACACACTCCGTCCTCGCTGCCTAGGCCATGTAGATGAAGGTGTTGATGTCCGCCTCGTCCCTCTTTATGTATTTGTGCTCGATGAGCCACTCGATCTGCTCTTTTATCATCTTTTTCTGAGGCAGAAACATGTTCTTCAGGATCTCCACCAGCTCCGTCTGCAGCTGGGCGTTGCTGATCCGCTTCCTCATCTTCATGATTTGGATGATGGCCTCCTGGAGAGGAAAGAAAAGGAAATGTTAGAACTTTACAGCTGTGTAGACCAGGGATGGACGACATTTCCTTTAGAGGGTCGTACTGATTTAAGCCTTGATTATACTCTGTTCCTGTTATAACTCTTTGAAGTCTGCCTCCTAGGCACATGGGCATTTGGTGAATCGTGGCGTAAATTCTCTACGGACGCGTCTGCACACAGGCATGAAGACGTCCACATGGACCCTCGTGCTAACTGTCTGATGAAGTCATTTACATTTACCGTTACATTGCCTTATCATTACTCTGTAAAATGTCCTGAAACGCACTGTCACATAAACCAACACAAATCCCACATAGATAACTACTGAGGACTAGGGATGGGTACTGGTATCGGTTCTGTCATAAACGGTAGTAACCAGACCGAAAAGCAGCGCACATTTCGGTGCTTTTTTTCCCTGAGTTGTGATACACTTTAGATTCTAGCCAATCATTTTACGTTTCCGAGGATAGTAGGCGGGTCCAGGTACGTACGTTCTTTTAGAGCAGAGCTACAGATTAAAAATGACCAAGGCGAAGAGGAGGTCAAAAGTCTGGCTGTACTTCACAGCAAAATATGCAAACTCAGACACATGTTAAGATGTTAACGACATCTTAACGGGTTCCTGGCTAGCTTGGCGTTAGTATGCTGGCTGTGCAGATGTTTGCTGAAGTTGTGGTTTTTTTTTCGTTCAATAAAAATAAAAGTAATGTTTATATCTCCACTCCTCAAAGCTGTACCACGTCACAATTTTCTTCCTCTCACATACAAACTGAAATCAGCTGATTGTAGCGCAAGTGAAAAAACATGAAGAAGAAAATAAATTGTTTTTTCTTGCCCAGCTTCCAGATAACTGAACAACTTTTGTAATGCAGGTAATGACATCACTATAACTGTAATGAAATTAGTGAATTTAGTAAAGCCTGACTGTGCTTTACATTAATGAAAAATGTGATGTGGTAACGGCAACACCCAGCACTGTTGTCGACCGTAACCTGCTCATGGCCCAGATGAGCTGAATAGAAGCAGCAGAGTTGAAGCATCTCTGTCCTGCAGCCATCAAGGCTGCACACAGTCTGTGCGGGTGGAGTGTTTCTGTACCTGAGTTCTGAGTATTCTGAGCTGAACGATTCCTTCATTCTCCTCTTCTCTCATTCGCTCTGTGGTCAGCTGCAGACGGCCAATCAAATTGATCTTTCCCCGCTTCTGAACTTTGGAGTTTTTACTGAGAAAAATGTCGACATTTAGACACAATAATAACAATGAAACATTTAAACATGTCCACATCATTTCCAGAGGTTAAGATTTGTATAAATGCCAAGACCTACATGAGAGAGAACTCCTGGTTGACGTAGAAGAGCGTGCCGTCTGTGAAGTCTTTGGGTGAGCTCACCGGGGGGTCGTAAGACAACACCTGCCTCTTCAGCTTCGGGAAGGCGACCAGAGACTGCACGGTGAGGAGAAAGCAGGAGACCTGAAGTTAAACTTTATCATCATTATCAGCCACAAATACCGCATGTTAAAGGACAGCGTGACTCTTATTTAATCACCACTGATTTTCTGTGGGCATAACTGTTGCTAAGTTTCATTCTAGGATGTTAGGATTTTTTTCTTTCCCTAGAATCGGTTACTGGTGTCTGCTTAATAAGTCCATTCTTGGTTTGTTCCCATCTTACTTGCAGACGTACAGACAGGCGTTCACAGGCTCCTTCTCTGTGGAATTAGCTGCAAAATAAACCAAACCTAAAGGAGCTGCTCACGTTAAACAGCATTAAGCTCATTTTAACTGACCTGCAGACAGTTACTTCATGGCTGCTGGAACATTACTGCCCCCTTGTGGCCAGATATAACTGTGACAGTTACCTGTTACTATGTTTTTATGTCATGTAGTATTTTCATTAATGATCTTACATGTTTAAACTTCTTTCGTGTTGTTGCATGCATTATTAATCTATGTAACCACTGCTGGTTGACCCGATGCCTGCCTTTGCCGGGGCACTGCTGCAAAAGACATTTTTAATCTTAAGAGTCTTAAAATAAAAATGTAGTACAGGAAGTGCTAACAGCGCTGAGCACAGCTGATTCTGAGTTCAAACCTGCCTGTTGTCCAAAAGTTGAGAAGGAACAGAAGTCCTTTCACTTTTCAAACAAAGTAAGACACAATCTTCCCTTTTATTTTAGAAGTCTTTTCACGTTTTAACCAAATCACAGTGTTGTTTAAACATCTCTCGTCTCCACTGGGTGGATGGCTTTGCAATACAGGCAGCGTTATCTCTACTACAAGTTACGAAGAATTGATGTAACCTCAGTAACTTTTAAATCCTCTGTATTTCTGGTCTAACTTGTAAGTGGAGAATTTCGGTCTGACCCAGAGTGTTCGGCGTAGCTCTGCGTCGGGCAGCTCTGTGGCCAGTTTGAGGTTCTCGAAGCTGATTCGCTCTCTGGGTCTCTGATTCCAGGCAAACAGCACGGCGAGCTGGAACGTCGTCACCTCCAGGTCGTACTGCCCCACTTCATTTTTAAAGGTGATCTGATCAGAGCAGAACCAAAGGACAAGGAAGGAAAGGCAAGTGTCAGTGTTAATTTGGTAGCCCGATATCTTCTAAAGAGAAAGGTGGGCAGCAGCGGGCTGTAAACAAAAGCTTTGCTAAAAAATACACCAGAATAACTCTTCAGTAGTCTCAACCAGCACTTCCAAAAGACTGTCAAGTTAAACTCTTTTTCTAACTTTTCCACGTGACCCAAAGAATCCCAGTTTGAAAACTGGAAAGTGTAAACAGAGGTGACCAGAAAAAAGATCACAGAGATAACAAACGTCTGAAGGAGAAAAGTTCATGAAATTATGAGTAAAACTGAGAGAGTATCACCCGAGCGTGAGAAAATGCTCAGGTGTGCACACATGAGTATCATTTAAAAAGGATATTGTCAATAACTTGTGTTCTTTTTATTCAATCCAGTTCTTTTCTTATGTATTTACGTTTATGGACATTCTTGCATCCAAATTTCTTATAAAAGTCCTGTTTGATAATAAAATTGAAGAGTTCCCTTAACTCCAAATATCAGGCGTTCTTCATAAAAGAAGGTGTTAAGAAACAAAAATAATCTTCTATTTCCTAATTTGTAAAAACCAAAAATAAAATTTAATTTAAATTCCCAGAATCTCCCACGCTGCTATATTTCTAGGGCTTTTATTCTGAAATGTACAGACAGGAAGATGCCCTGTTTTTTGCACATGCAGAAAAAATTATAACAAATTTGTATGGATGACAGATAAACAAAGAAGAGATGAGAAAAACAGAAAAATGTATTCAGATTTTAGTTTCCAGGAGATTCGTGTTTTCCGCTCTTCATGTCAGCAGGAACTCTGCTTTATTCCACACACTCACAATGCCGTTGGACATGAGGTGATGCCAGTGGAGCTTCCGACCGCTGTGATTCCTCTTGTAGAAGTCCTCCACCTCGGGGATCAGGTCCTCCAGCTCCGTGGGCAGCGAGACGAAAACCTTCTCACTGCTTCGTGACCAGGCACCGGCGTTCAGGATCTTAATGTTCACGCTGTCCGCTGCACGGAGAGGAAGAGATGAAGTGAATAACCAAGAGAAACCGTTTACGCTCGGTTTAATACGTGACACGTCATAATCAAATTGTGCTTTAACTGTTTGAGACATGTGCGGCACCATGCTACACATAATTTCGCAGACATATGTTATAGCTAATGCATGTTAGCATAAAAATAGTTGCGCTGTATGCTACAGTGGGTGTATGTGTTACCTGGCAGTGCCAGCTTGTTGTGTTTGTGCATCTCTTTGAAGACCTGATTGAGGTCCTCTGACACCTTGATGTCCTGAAACATCCTGGCAAGCTTGTTCACATAATCAGCAGGCATTCCCACTTCCTACAGCCACACATAGACACACAAAGGAAGCAATAAAATCAGACAAACGGGCAATTTGATTGTTAAACATCAGATTTACATCACATGGCATGATGTAATAAAATATTTAAAAGAACCAAAGTCTTCGTCTCTATCAAGTAACCAGTTTTTCTGCGTCGGGAAGAGCAGATGTTTTGCATAAGCACAAAAACATAAATCACTTACAGGACACCCAGAAATGATAAAAGCACTTAAAACTGGCTTAATACTTTAATTTGTACTAAAGCATATAGTTAGGGCTGGATCAGGTGAATCCTTCCTTAGTAATGCTGCAATAGGTGTAGGCTGCTGGAGATTCCCATGATGCTCTGAGTATTTCTTCTTCAGTCACCCTTTTCACTCACTATGTATTAACAGACCTCTCTGCATTGAATCATACTTGTTTTTAATCTCTGTCTCTCTTCCACAGCATGTCTTTATCCTGTCTTCCTTCTCTCACCCCAACCGGTCGCAGCAGATGGCCGCCCCTCCCTGAGCCTGGTTCTGTCAGAGGTTTCTTCCTGTTAAAAGGAAGTTTTTCCTTCCCACTGTTGCTAAAGTGCTCACTCATAGGGGGTCATATGATTGTTGGGTTTTCGTATTATTGTAGGGTCTATCTTACAATATAAAGTGCCTGATGTTGTGATTTGGTGCTGTATAAATAAAACTGAATTGAATTGAATTTTGCTGCATTAATATATTAATGCGATATTAATACATATGTTAATATGTCGCTGAAATCAGTAGTGATTTTATGACTCTGCTGCTGAAAGTTCAAGAAAAGCTGAACTCACTCTCAGCCACTCCACCATGTTCTCTTCAATCTCGCTGTCGGCCGAAATGTCCAGGATCAGGCGCCTGGTCAGATGAGCTTTGTGGTAACGCATGAACACGTCTTTGTTCTGGACGTATTTCAGCACCAAGAGCTGCAAGGAGGGGAGAGAAAAGCATGAATCTGCGAGAGAACGAGAGAAGGGGAAGTCATAAATGGACTGATATGGTTTGAGATTAGACTCACCACTTCTTTGAGTTTGAGCTCAATTTCCTCTGAGGTCAGTTTCTTGCTGAGCGGGGTTTTCCTTAGCAGCATGTCACAGTAGTTTGCCAGCAGCTCCGGACACTTCGACTCCGGCTGAGTCTTCATTCCCACTCTGATTCAGCAAGGAAATGCATTCACACATTTATGCACACACACACGCGCACACACACTGTGATCAGTTTTAACCAGCGACGAGCGATTTAAGACCCACAGTGGCCAAACATACCCTTTCTGTTTCATCGGCAGCTCCAGTTTGAAGATTGTGGCATCATTGACGACCGCTTTGTAAGCCTGCGAGGTAACAGAAAATACCGCCGCAATGAGAAAAACAATTCTTAAAATACCAAAGAGCCCTAAAGCCTTTCAATTTCAGACAATAAACTGAAACAATTTGATTTTTTCACTAGTGGTTTTAACAAAAGCACAGCAGACTAAAGATTCCCAAAGTCCTTGATAAACCAGCTAACAGCTGAACAAAATAACATGTGATGATGTTTGATTTTTACTGTAACCCTAACAGAGATCCCAGCAGCCCCCACCTCCAGTAGTCCATGCTGTTCTGAGTTAAGATGTTCTGTTTATTTTAGCAGAAACCTCCTCGAATCAGCACAGATCAGGATGTGACAGTACGATGAATCCACATGTGAACACCGGATCACTTTTCTTCCCGGTGGATTACATTGGATAAATAAAGCTACAGTTAAGTTCTTATGAACCTGGAGTATTCGTGTAGAACCCTCCTGCTATTCTGAAGCTGTGCTGTAGCACCGACACTGTAAAAGTGAAACCTGTTCATATGAACTTTGACCAAAATACCAGCCCAAACGCTGCACCTGACCCTGGCCTGTGAGGAATACACAGGCCTGCACATTCTCATTTAAATATCACTGGATATTAAAACTTAAAGGAGTGACTTCTTTAAAAGTCAGATAAAACAGACCTTATCTCTTGCTGTGAGGAAGCGTGGGTCATCCTGGAAAGCCTCCTTTACCAGCTTACTGAAGCGGTTAAACAAAGTCAGCAGCTGCTCCACATACTTTTCAGAGTCCTGGACAAACACACACACATTAAAAATGACTGAGCATGCTGTCAGAGCAGACCTCGAATATTAACTTTCATCTCTCATCTTTCAAACATGCCAACAAACATCTCATTCCATTAAAAAAATACAAAAAATGATTTCAAATCTCAAAAAGGTTCCCACTTAAATGAAGCCATGCAAGGTTTATTCATACTATGAATGTTTCCCGAGTACAACAAATGAGTCCAAACCTTGCACTTAAAGAAAAAGAGCAACTTTAAAAGTGCCAGATTTCACCCGTACACCTGTAACTATGTTAAATGTCTTTGCATGGCTTCATTAAATAAAAAGCATTGAGCCGACTCTGAGGGGAACAGCTGCAGGAACTGACTGATTCTTCCTCGAGTGACCATGGTTGCTGAAGTGTGTGTTTGTGCACGTACAGTAGTGATAGTCTCTGCAGCAGCCACCATGTCCGCTAGTCCAGCACTGATGATATGCTCCTCCAGGTCTTTCAGCATGGGCTCGATCCCGTTGGGAACCTTGTCCATCAGTGAAAACATGAGGTGCAGCTCTGCTCCAGAGAAAAGCAGCGTCACACACTGGACAAGAAGCACGTGGGATGAAACTAAAACTTCCTGCTCTTTCTGGCTCATGGAAAGCCCAGATGGCTGTGGACTGCCATAATCCAAGTCCTCAAAATGATTTTTGCCAACTTAAAGAGTAAGCTGAACTTGTTCATGAAATTATAAATCCTTCTACTAAAAAAACAACTTGTGTCGTAAATGCTCACGAGCCCTGACTGTGGTTGGTGAACAAACAGCTCTACATGTAGGAAACCAGAGCAGAAGCAGTTTCTATCTTTAAATCTACCCCGACTGATGCAGCAGTGAATTTCAAAGCCACTATTTTCAGCAGATGTTATATTTTGTAGTGCGAATCAACAGAGTTAACTTCAGCAGCGACGTTGCTGAGGTACTCACTGACTGTCTCGTTGCGTTTGATCATTCCTGGACATTCGGCGAGGATTGTCTCTTTGAACGAGGTCACCAGAGCGTTCACGCAACACTCCATCAGCTGTGAGGATACACAGAACATACAGACTGCCGTTAGGACAAGATATAAATTAACAGGCAGCACGTACATTTAACAAGACTCCCGAAATTCAGTTTAAACTGAAACCAACACAGGAAGTGACCCTAAAAGAAAGGCCAGATGAAGGAAAGCAGACACAGGAGGGTTCAACACAACCAACGGATGACTGAGAGAAAGTTCAGTGACGAGCTGCTGACCTGAGGTTGTTTCCTCACGACTTCACAGGTGAAGTTGTTGTTACATCGTCTTGTTACAACTACTTGTTACTTTCACAGGTAAAGATATAACAAGTTCTTTTTTCTCGCAGTCAGAAGTTTTGAGTTAAAGTAAGCATACGCAGGCTGCAAAACATATTTAGGAGCCCAAGCAGGCCCCATTTTTCCACAACAAAAAATGTGACAACAAACAGAAGTTTGAAGCAAAGAGCCAGCATGGCAACCAAGATGGTGAAAGCAGGTGGAGCTGAGTCAGCACCAGCTGTGCTTTTTACTGCAGTCTGAATTAAACCTGAGGGGGTAAAGGGTCCATGGCAACCCTTTCTTCATGAAAGCACCTGTTCAACAAGCTTAAACATGAAGAAAAGCGTCTCCTTCCATCTACCCTCAGGTGTGTCGACACAGCGACAGCACAACTCAATTAAAATCAAATGAAAGTTTGATTTCAGGTGAACTCCAGAAATAAAAAAGCTGCCTCTCTTTCTGGCAGCGATGCCTGCAGCATCCAGGCGGGTAGCAGAATAAACTTTAATTAGCTTATTCAATATGTTCATTTATTCATTATAACAGTGGCTCTCAAATTGGGGTGCCTGGACCCCAACGGCTCCACGACTCATATACTGGGGGTCTGCGAAAACATGTCGTGGCACATAAATACATGTGCATCACCGGGGCTGAGCTGATTAGCACAATGGACACATTTTTAAGTCCAAGCCAAACCGGCTAAAATTAGAAAGTATGACGACGGTTATGTTTGAGTTTGGCTTTATCGAGAATGACGATGGAAGACCAACATGGGTTGCGTGTCTTCGAGTGGTAGCAAATGAAGTCAGCCAAGCTAAAGCGTAAAGAGTTTTATCAGCATGATTAAGGCGGCCCTTGGAAAACTTTTTACCCGCTGTAAGGAGGAGTCTCTGCCTCCTAAAAGTTTGAGAAGCTCTTAGTAGAAATAATTTTAGCCCAAAGTCATCTGGGATGAGCTCAAGCCCTCCCTCGACTGTGAACTGGATAAGCTGTTAGAAAAATGGATGGCTGGATGGATCGATACTAATTATTGTGCAGAATTAGATCATAGAATCAAAAATATAAATCTGCTAATTTGTTGGTTATATACATCAAGAAATACATAAATTATGAAGGCAAAGAAATTAACATGAGCTTTCTCCACAGGCCAATAATCTTATCTGTCCTACCTCGGTGTCACAGCACAATCAGGCTCGATTATGATGTTCTGCATCAGTACACTGAATATAACGTGAGCAGACGATGGGACAGTTTGGAAACACACGTTCAGGACAGTAAAAGAACTTCTGATCCTCTTAAAGACACTTACTGCTTGAACAGAGTTACATTCACGACGTGTTTCTAGATATCTAAGCGCTCTCTTCTCCTCCTCCCTCAGCTTCGCATCTGCCTGTAAGAAAACACACAGAAACACAGAAAATGAAGATTAGATTCAAACAGCTAAAGTTTTTATTAATGCACAAAGCCAGGAGCACAACTTTATTCTACGCTCTGTCCTCAGAATGTTTTAAGGTGGACTTCCGTATTCATTACTGGGATCATTTTATATGTATCAGTACTATTGTGCCGTACATATTTCATGTAGTTCTGGACACCGTTCTGCTGCAGGTATGACGGCGCCTGAGTTCTGTAGAACCTCTCTGTAGAGTCCAGGTAGGCTTTCTCAAAGTTATCCCTGTAGATCTGCAGCTTGTCCTCCGGGTTAGAGCACAGGTTGACTGGTGGGAGAGAAGTAAGAAAGCGTTTATTTATATTTTTCAAGATTTGTTATAAACTATGATGACATTTTGGGGCTACTGAAGGCTGAATACAGTTTGTTTCCTCATAACTTGACATTTTCACTGTATATTTTTTACATTTTTTTCCTTTATCTTTCCTAAATTTATTACTTTTATTTCAAAAATATTGTTTTTGGCTCTTATTATCATTATTTTATCTTCTCTTCCGAGGCAGATTTGAACATCCACCATTCATGGGTTTTACAAATTGGATAAGCAGTGATGGAGCGCCCCCCCACCCCTCCCCCCGTGTCTTACCGTATGACTCTCGTACGCCTATCACGAGCTGAGAGTCAAAGGCCTCGCCCAGCCGCTCGGCGTGCACCAGCTTCATGGCGCTGTCCTGCAGGCGACTCTTAATGTTTGAAAAGATCGACTCGTTCCACGTGTCCAGCATCAGCTGTGAAAAATAAGGAGGGAGTTAAACAATAATACCATCAGTTTCCTGCAACCTGAGAATAGTGAAGCCGAATTTATTTATGAAGCACTTCTAACAAAACCTTCTGCTTGCTGAGTCACACTCCCTCACCCACGACATCCCCCTCACGTCCGAGACCTTCCTCGCAGACATCAAATAAATATCGTACGAGTCATGTTTTAAGCTGTTCACTGATTCGAGATTTCGAGGCTAACTGACCCTTAGCTGCTCTCCACCGTCTACATATAACAGTTAAAATTCAATGTTTTCTTCTGCGTGAGCTTCTTCTTTCGCAGCCTTTCTGCCTTTTACTATTCTTCCACTTTGATATCTGCCCTCCCTACTAACCTTTTCCACTTATGACTTTATAAAGTTCATAAAAGGCTTTGTCTTCTTTCATCTAATCCCCTCCTGCTTCTTTAGCTTTTCTTCACAATCAGCCGTCCACACCAGCCACCGTGTTTCCCTTCTGCTTCTGGTTCCTCAGCTCATATGTTGACCTCTCACCTTGCGTACAATGCTGTCCTCCATGTTGGTTTTCTTGTTGCTGCCTTGTTTTCCCATCAGTGTGATCTCCAGCTGACAGAAGGGTTTGGGCAGGATGTCGCACTGGGTGAAGAACTTCCTCCACTCCACAATGTAGGCTTTGAGGAGAGCTGTGTCGTCCTGGTGGCTCAGCACTCGCTGCGAAGACGGAGGTGATATGGATCAACCAGAAAACAAACAAACAAACACACTCAGCATGTCTGTTTGTCCCTTTCCAGAGTAAGCATGACAATTAAAGGTCACATCTGGTGGTTTTCATGCGTTTTATGGTCATGCTTGCTTCTAATAATTGATTAGTCTCTTATTTTGTACTAATTAGCAGATACCTGTGTCTGTAGTTGTACAGTAGATGGATGCAGCTTGCTAACCAAACCACCTAACTCTCAAAATGTATTTATATAGCACTAAATCACAACAACTGTCATCTTGAGGCATTTTATACTGTAAACAATGGACCTGGATGTGAGAGCCCAAATGTCTGATGAGGTCACATTGAAACAGGATTTAACCTTCCAGCTCCCCATCACCGATTTCATGACATGTTGTGGGCAAATCACAGTTAGCAAGTGAGTGTAAAGAGTCTCCTGGTCACTCTACTGAAGCAGGTCCCTTCTCTAAACCAATCACAGTACTCGTAGCTCTGAGAAGATGCCAGGAGCGAGTATGCAAATGTGCAAAAGGGCAACTTTGGACAATGACCCCGCCTAATCCTCCTGACATGATCTGAGTTTATCTGCTTACAGCTTGTGCTTGTTTGATGAAGTCGAGGATGTCGTCTTTGAGGGCTTGGTGGATTTTGGCTGGTCCTTTGTCATCCCATAGACACACAGCGTGAACATCTCTGGAGGACAGAAAGAGCACATCTGTGAGGCTTTAGACCTGAAATTTTTTCATGTAAACTTAAATTTAGAGTAATCTAAGCTTCTTCATAAAGCTCCTTTCTAGGTCAGAGGTCACCAGCTGCCTGACAGTAAAAAGTGCAAAGACACAGCAAATACAGGTGCTTAACACAAACACCGAACCCCCCAAAAGAGTCTAAAAACTTTAACCTAAAATACCCACAGGTCTTAATGACAGTGGAAAACCACCCTCGCAACCACATCTGTGTCCACATGTGTTTAGACACCTTTCTTTAATAACATCCAAGCTCCTCCGTGCATGGGCGCTCGTGTTGCAGCTCAGGGCTGTGAAATTACTTAAACTTAGTGCAACATTCACTCCCTGCAATGCTACTGCATTTGTATTCAGCTCAAATAATCATTTTCCAATTAAATCATAATTAAAATACAAAGACATTCACTTTCAAAATAATTTTTAAGTTCAATAAATCTGTTTACGTGCTTAATTGAGTTACATCTCAATAAAATTCTTCTGGCTGTTCCCTTATTTCCCACGAGGTCACCACAGCAGATGGATCTGCATATTTCATTTGGCACTGATTTTATACTGGATGCTGTTCCTGATGCAACCCTCCCATCAGTCCAAGCGTTGGACTGACACTAGGAGTACATTAGATTGTCCCGACACCCCCCCAAGGCTGGGCTTTAATCGTTACAATCACAACATTGATGATAATAACTGATTAGAAGAAGCCCCACCTCCACACCACAGGACCTGCTGTTCTGGAAATGTTCAGGCCATTTTTTCGGCTTTCAACAGCATCAAACTCTTTTTTCTCACTTCCCAGTTTGCTGCACTGTGATAAACCTGAACCTGATCTGGATCCAGGATTTCTTTTGCTCTCTGTGTCACTAAGAAATGAGGTTAGATAAGAAAATCTGGAGGTTTGACATCATATCTTTACAAATACATATCACATTAAAATAAGAACAACTGTGAGATGATGGGGTGGGTGCAGTTTTCTCTGT